GCATGGTGGCACGAGCCTGTACTTCCAGCTGTTGGGGAGGCTGAGGCACAAAAATCACTTGAGCCTGAGAGGTGGAAGTTGCAATGAGCCGAGATCATGCCACTGCACTCCAACTTGGGCTACAGAATGAGACTTTATCTAAAAAAAAAAAAAAAAGCCAGGTATGTTGATGCACACCTGTAGTCCCAGGTACTTGGGAGACTGAGGTGGGAGGATCAGTTGAACTCAGAGGATCGAGGCTGCAGTGAGCTATGATTGTGCCACTGAGCTCCAGCCTGGGTGATAGAATGAGACCCTGTCTAAAAAAAAAAGATTCCAAGCTTCTGAGATGCAGCGAGTCTAGGGATCATGACCTGGGGATCTGCCCTAGGATGCTGCGGTGGTGGGTGCTCTAAGGCTCCATGATAATGGGTCCTGAGCTCACAAGCTCTGAGAGGCAAAGGCAGCAGGGGGCCAAGCTCCCCAGTTCTGAATTCTGAGATTCTATAAATCAGAGTTGACCTTTAGATGCCTGGATATTAAGATTCAAAATCCAGGAATATTTTATCTTGAGTCCAAAATTCTGGGAGGCCAAGGTACTGTTGTTTCCTCTAGGATTTTTCTTTCTTTTTTCTTTCTTTTTTTTTTTTTTTGAGACAGGTTCTTGCTCTGTCACCCAAGCTGGAGTGCAGTGGTGTGATCATGGCTCACTACAGCCTTGATGTCCTGGGCTCAAGCGATTCTCCCACCTCACCTGCCCAAGTAGCTAGGAGCACTGGCATGGACCACCATGCCAGGCTAATTTTTAAAATTTCTGTAGAGACGGGGTCTCATGTTGTTGTATTTGTCTGTTCTCATGCTACTATAAAGAACTGCCCAAGACTGGATAATGTATAAAGGAAAGAGATTTAATTGACTCACAGTTCCGCAGGGCTGGGGACGCCTCAGGAAACTTACAATCATGGTGGAAGGGGAAGCAAACATGCCCTTCTTCACATGGTTCTAGGAAGGAGAAGTGCCAAGCAAAAGGGGAAAAGCCCCTTATAGAATCATCAGATCTCTTGAGGACTCACTCACCATCAAAACAGCATGAGGGTAACTGCCCTCATGATTAAATTACCTTTCATGGGGTCCCTCCCATGACACCGGGGGATTATGGGAATTACAATTCAAGGTAAGATTTAGGTGTGGACGCAGAGCCAAACCTTATCAGTTGCCCAGGCTGGTATTGAACTGCTAGGCTTCAGCAATCCTCCTGCCTCAGCCTCCTGAGTAGTTGGGACTACAGGGGTAAGTCACCAGGCCCAGCTAATTTTTAACATTTCTATAGAGATGGGGTCTCACTGTGTTGCCCAGGCTTGCCTCAAACTCCTGGGCTCAGGTGGTCTCCCTCCTCGGTCTCCCAAAGCACTGGGATTACAGGCGTGAACCACTGCACCTGGCCTCCTCTAGGATTTTTAAGGCGTCTTATGAATCTAAAAAGTTCTCACATTCAGGATTCCACAAACTGGGTATCCTTTGGGCTTGAGATTCTGCTTCTGCGATGGATCCTGGGGAATATCCAAGGGCCTATTTGCTACCCTTGGGTGTTGCTGGGCAGGAATCTGCCTGCATTTCCCACCCCAATTTCTACATCCTGCACCCCACCCCCACCCCCAGCAAGCCTGGCTGGGTCTCTGCCCCGCCAGGGCCCTGAATGACTGTCCCGTGTCCCCAGGTCAGACGGCCCTGCACATCGCCATCGAGCGTCGCTGCAAACACTACGTGGAGCTCCTCGTGGCCCAAGGAGCTGACGTCCATGCCCAGGCCCGTGGGCGCTTCTTCCAGCCCAAGGATGAGGGAGGCTACTTCTACTTTGGTAAGGAGGGGCGTGGTGGGGGCCGACAGCGTGCTGGAGAAGCATGGCGGGAGACAGTGTGATACTGCTTGGTGTCTGCAGCCCTGACCATCCCCCAGACACCCAGGGCCACTCTGGCCATGGGCGCAGACAGCACTCTGGAGCACAGGCTGCACGCCAGTCTTGGTCACGGGGCCCTTGCCTCTGAGGTGTAAGTGCTATTGGGGAACTTGGCACCATGGACCTGGATTCAGATCCTCACTCCAGCCAGGCACGGTGGCTCACACCTGTCATCCCAGCACTTTGGGAGGTCAAGGCAGGAGGATCGCTTGAGGCCAGGAGTTTGAGACCAGGCTAGGCAACATAGCAAGACTCTGTCTCTTTTAAAAATTTAAAAAATGGCTGGGCGTGGTGGCTCATGCCTGTAATTTTAGCACTTTGGGAGGACAAGGCAGATGGATCACCTGAGGTCAAGAGTTCGAGACCAGCCTGGCCAACAACATGGTGAAACCCCATCTCTACAAAAATAACAAAAATTAGCTGGGCATGATGGTGGGTGCCTGTAATCCTAGTTACATGGGAGGCTGGGGCAGGAGAATTGCTTGAACCTGGGGGACAGAGGTTGCAGTGAGCCAAGATTTCCCCATTGCATTCCAGCCTGGGTGACAGAGTGAGACTCTGTCTCAAAAAAAAAAAAAAAAAAAATTAGATGGCATGGTGTCATGTGCTTGTAATCCCAGCTGCTTCGGAGGCCAAGGCTGGAGGATCACTTGAACCTAGGAGTTCGAGGCTGCAGTGAGCTGTGATTGTACCACTGCATTCCAGCCTGGACAACAGAGCAAGACTCTGTCTTTAAAAAGCAAAAAGAAAACAACAAAAAAAGCCAAATCCTCACTCTGCACTTTCCAGGCATGTGACCTCACTTCCCTCACCTTCCCCAGCTGTGCAGTGGGGATCATGAGAGGCCCTTGGGCTGTGTTGTCAGCACCCAGCCTGTATTGTCTGTGTCCTTTAATCTGGTTTATGCTGGGACCAACATCACCAGGCCCAAAGCCCACCACTGCCGTTGTCATCGCTGGACTCATGAAATATTTTGAATCTTGCCCGTGCTTAAAGGCACTCATTATGTGCAGCTCAGGGACAAAGTCACAGAAAGAATTCCATCATCGGCTGGGCACGGTGGCTCATGCCTGTAATCGCGGCACTTTGGGAGGCCAGGGGGGCAGATCACTTGAGGTCAGGAGTTTGAGACCAGCATGGCCAACATGGTGAAATCCTGTCTCTACTAAAAATACAAAGATTAGCCAGGTGTGGTGGCAGATGCCTGTAATCCCGGCTACTCGGCTGAGGCACAAGAATTGCTTGCACCCAGGAAGTGGAGGTTGTAGTGAGCCGAGATTGTGCCACTGCACTCCAGCCTGGGCGACGGAGTGAGACTTTGTCTCAAAAAAAATAATAATAATAATTCCATCATTGGATGTGTCCAGTCCCTGACAGCCTCCGACTCGCATGGCTGTGCCCTTAACTAGCCATACCCTATCACCCTGGCATCACCCAGAGAAACGTGCAGTTCATATCCACTGCTGGTACTGTCTCCATCATCCTCAGAGTGCCACAGTGTCCATCCCCCGAGTGTCTGCAGGCAGAGTCCCACCCTGGGCCCCCTTCGCTGACCTCCCACCCTCCACCCTGGCCCGTAGGGGAGCTGCCCTTGTCGCTGGCTGCCTGCACCAACCAGCCCCACATTGTCAACTACCTGACGGAGAACCCCCACAAGAAGGCAGACATGCGGCGCCAGGACTCGCGAGGCAACACGGTGCTGCACGCGCTGGTGGCCATCGCCGACAACACCCGTGAGAACACCAAGTTCGTTACCAAGATGTATGACCTGCTGCTGCTGAAGTGTGCCCGCCTCTTCCCCGACAGCAACCTGGAGGCCGTGCTCAACAACGATGGCCTCTCACCCCTAATGATGGCTGCCAAGACGGGCAAGATTGGGGTGAGTATACAGCTGGGGGCACAGCTGATCCACCCACTTGTGCCCCTCTGCACACACACATAAGGGTCTGCTGCTGGTATTCATTATTGATATGTGCACACACCTCCCAACACGCCAACCCCAGTGTGCAGATGTCCCAGCTCAAGAACCTGCTATGGCTCCCTAGTGTCCAGCCAAGCTTCTTAGCTTCATCCCTGAGCCTCTTGCCTCATGTCACCCTACTGGATGTTCACCACTCCACCCCCACCAGCCAGGATGCGCCGCAGATAGGAAAGTGAGTACCAGGGCTGTAGCCCAGCAGTGCTCCCAGCCTCGAACCTGCTGAGTGCCCCTGCCCTAGTTCCTTCCCCTTTCTGGGCTGCACAGCATGGGGCCTGGAGAAGGGTTTCTCAACTTCAGCACGATTACTTTGGGCGGCAGGTTCTTTGTGGTGGGGACCATCTTGTGCTTTTGCCAGACATTGATCTGCATCCCGGGTCTCTACCCACCAGATGCCAGGAGCACCTTCCCTTACACTTGTGACCACCAAAAATATCTCCAGAACGTTGCTGAAATGTCCTCTGGGGGGCACTGTCACTGTGTTTGGGAACCAAGTCTGGAGTGCCCTAGAGGCAGGAGCACCTGTCCAAGCCCCGGGGCTACCACTTCCCAGTGCGTGACCTCAGACATCTCATCTCCCTTTTCTGTGCCTCAGTTTCCTTGTCTGTAAAATGGGGATATAAGAGTGCCCTCTGGTGTGGTGTTGTGACAGTTAAATGCGGTATCCACATAAGGCTCTTAGGAAGGAGCCCAGGAGAGGCAATAAGTTCTCACTTACATGTCTGTAATGCCAGCTAGTTGGGAGGCTGAGGTGAGAAGATTGTTTAAGTCCAGCCTGGGCAACATAGTGAGATCCTAAATAAATAAAAACCAAAGTAAAAATAAATAAATAAAAATGTAGCAAAAATTACTGAAATTGCAATTATTCCAGGACCCTGAGGCAGTAGAAAGGCTCCGGCTTAAATCCTAGCTTTGGCTGGGCTCGGTGGCTCATGTCTGTAAACCTAACACTTTGGGAGGCTGAGGTGGGAGGATCACTTGAGCCCAGGAGATTGAGGCTGCAGTGAGCTGTGATAGTGCCACTGCACTCCAGCCTGGGCAACAGAGCAAGAACCTGTTTCAAAAAAGACCCCAAAATCCTGGCTGGGCACGGTGGATCACGCCTGTAATCCCAGCACTCTGGGAGGCTGAGGTGGGTGGATCACCTGAGGTCAGGAGTTCAAGACCAGCCTGGCCAACATGGTGAAACCCCGTCTCTACTAAAAATACAGAAATATTAGCCAGGTGTGGTAGTGGGCACCTGTAATCCCAGCTACTCAGGAGGCTGAGGCAGGAGAATTGCTTGAACCTGGGAGGCGACGGTTGCAGTGAGCTGAGATCACGCCACTGCACTCCATCCTGGGTGACAGAGTGAGATTCTGTCTCAAAACAAAAACAAACCCCAAAATCCTAACATTGCCTGACCTTGGGCAATTCCCAACCCCTCTCTGTGCCTCAGCTTCCCTGTGTGTAAGCCAGGGAAGGAGTGGTAACAGGAAGGACCGCATATGATCGTCAGTATTATAATTCACGTATTATTAAGATGGATTCATTGCTATTTTAACGGCATGAAGAAGATATTCATTACAATTAAGATGTTGAAGGCTCATTCAGGTTCCGTCTGGCTCCAGCTGACTGGTTAAGTGTCTTCTGGAACACCTTTCATTTTTCCCAGCCTCCACTCCTTATCTGTAAACCAAGATAATAAGAGCAAGAATTAAACAAGATGAGGAAGGGGTCCTCCAGCAGCCGGTGCTCAGCTGTTTTCTGGGGAGGCGTCATGTGCTGAGCTGGGCCCAGCCCTGGGGACCTCTCCAGTGTGAGCCCCCTGACCCTCCTGGCCCCCTGTGTAGATCTTTCAGCACATCATCCGGCGGGAGGTGACGGATGAGGACACACGGCACCTGTCCCGCAAGTTCAAGGACTGGGCCTACGGGCCGGTATATTCCTCGCTTTATGACCTCTCCTCCCTGGACACATGTGGGGAAGAGGCCTCCGTGCTGGAGATCCTGGTGTACAACAGCAAGATTGAGGTGGGCTCCAGGAGAGGGCATGGGGTGTGAGGAAGGAGGGGCAGGGCTGGGAGCAGGGATGGGGCCCTGGGGCTGGGCTAGGGGAGAGAGCCCCAGCCTCTAGGGCCCAACGTGGTGAATCTGTTGGCTGAATGCAAGAGAAGGTGCCAATTAAGTGCCCAGAACAGTGTCTGGCATGTGAGGAAATGAGCAAGACTTGTGGGAAGGTGGACTTTTGGAGCAGGTAGGACTGGGTTGGGATCCTGGCTCTGTAACTTACATGCCGTGTGTCTCAGAACAAGTGGCCCCACCTCTGTGGGTCTCAGCTTCCTCGTTTGTAACCTGGGGATAAGGATCATGCATATCCCATGGGGCTGTTGGGAGGACCAAAGAGGTTAATTTTAGAATGGCCTGGTACAGAGTAAAGATTATGTCAGCTTTTACCATTCGTGGTGGTTATATGAACTTTTGAAAGCTCTTTTTTTCAGCGAGGCATGGTGGCTTATGCCTGTAATTCCAGCATTTTGGGGAGCCAAGGTGGGCGGATTGCTTGAAGCCAGGAGTTTGACACCAGCCTGGGCAATATGGCGAAACCCCATCTCTACAAAAATAAAAATAAAAATAAAAGTTAGCTGGGCGTGGTGGTGCGAGCCTGTAGTCCCAGCTACTTGGGAGGCTGAGGTGGGAGGATCACCTGAGCCTGGGGAGGTCGAGGCTTCAGTGAGCTGAGATCATGCCACTGCACTCCAGCCTGGGTGACAGAGGGAGACCCTGTCTCAAAAAACAAAACAAAACAAAACAAGCTTTTTTTTTTCTACTTAGCAATATTTTGTGAACATCATTCTGTAGTTTTAAATATTCTTTGGTAATATTGTCGCTGCATGTAAATGTACCATATTCAAATGAACCGTTCTCTTATTGTTGGTCACTTGGGTTTGTTTCTGCCTGTAACTATCAGGAATAACACTACAAGAGCATCTCTGTGGCTGTGTTATTGCACAAATCATGATTATGGAGAAACTCAAGTCATTAAAGGGCTAGGAAGCTATACAAAGGGAGCAGAAAATGCTGGGGACTGGGTGCAGGTGGTCACCCTTCTAACCCTGCCCTGTGGCTTACTGGTCTGTGAGCTTGGCTTCCTTGCAAGACCTCATTTCTCTTATTTTTTGAATTAGTGGCCATCTTGATTTAAATTAGTAGTGGCAGCAGGTTTAGCATCTCAGGTGCAAACTGATTGATTGGTAGTGTCTACCCAGGGAACTGTATGAATACAATTGTGCAGGGCTCAATTATTGATGGCTGCCCTGGGTTCAGAATTGGAGAATTGTGGTAAGTCAATCATTTATCATCTTTGGGCAAAAATTTCTCAATCTTTCTCTCTGAATCAGAATTTCTGAGAATGGAGGCCAGGATTTATACTTGCAGCAAGCTACATAGATGATTTTGCGGCCAACAGGTTGGTACTATCCACAGACTGGAGTTTGGGAACCATGAGAATAAATGTCCTTTTTTCTTTTTTGAGACGGAGTCTCGCTCTTGTTGCCCAGGCTGGAGTGCAGTGGCATAATCTAGGCTCACTGCAATCTCCGCCTCCCAGGTTCAAGTGATTCTCCTGCCTCAGCCTCAGGAGTAGCTGGGATTACAGGTGTGCGCCACCACGCCCGGCTAATTTTTGTAGTTTTAGTAGAGTCAGGGTTTCACCACGTTGGATAGGCTGGTCTTGAACTCCTGACATCAGGTGATCTGCCTGTCTCGGACTCCCAAAGTGCTGGGATTACAGGCGTGAGCCACCGTGCCCTGCCTGAAAATAAATGTCTTTTAAGGGACTTTCCAGTTCTGAGTTCTGTAATGCTAGAATAGGGCGGAAAGGCACATTGAGGCAGAATTGGGCAGAATCTCAAATGGTGAGTGCGGGAGCTTGGGGCTGATGTTCAGTGTCTGTCCAGTTCCCCATGAATCCTTGAACGCAGCTGAGGAATGGATGGAAAGAGAAAGCGCTGTCGGGGCGGAGGGTGGGGGAAAGCACAGCCGGGGCAGCCTGTCAGGACCCCCCACCTCAGGAAGGCAGCCCCTGACCACCCTGCCTCTCACAGAACCGCCACGAGATGCTGGCTGTGGAGCCCATCAATGAACTGCTGCGGGACAAGTGGCGCAAGTTCGGGGCCGTGTCCTTCTACATCAACGTGGTCTCCTACCTCTGCGCCATGGTCATCTTCACCCTCACCGCCTACTACCAGCCGCTGGAGGGCACGGTGAGTGCCCAGGGACCGGGCAGGGGCTGGGGCAGGCACTGGCTGAGCCATGCAGGACGGGGGCACAACCTCGTCCCTCTGGGTCCCCTGTAGGAGGAACTGGAGAAAGTTTAGGGACAGGTTGGGGAGGCGCCCTCCAACATGCAGGGGTGGCCCTGAGCTGGGAGGAGGGGGACTCAGGAGCAAGAGAGTGAAGGAGGAGGCTACATGGGATCCAGATGTTTTGGGTCTGGGGGAACATCTGGATTGGGGGCCAGATGTCGGAGGGGCCGGGTGACGACCTGTGTGCCCTTGCTGCTCCCTAGCCACCGTACCCTTACCGCACCACGGTGGACTACCTGCGGCTGGCTGGCGAGGTCATTACGCTCTTCACTGGGGTCCTGTTCTTCTTCACCAACGTGAGTGCCTGGCCCCCGTGCCCCCCACTCTGCCTGCTCTCCTCTTCCTCTTCTCTTCCTGCACCTCTTTTCTCTCCTTCTTCTCTTCTCTCTCCTCCAAATCGTCCTTCTCTTTTCCTTCCTCTTTTTATTTTCCCATTTCTCTTCTACCTCCTCCAATCCCATGTTCTCCATCTCTGCTTTTTTCTCCTTTTCTAACAGGAAAGAGTCCTTTGTCTTTTCTCTGTACCGGCCTCTGCCTCCCTATCTTCTGTCCCTTTCTCTGTCTCCTCTTTCCTCCTCTCCTTTCCTGCTGGCCCCACCCCTTTCATGTGCCCCCTCCTGTCTTCCAGATCAAAGACTTATTCATGAAGAAATGCCCTGGAGTGAATTCTCTCTTCATTGATGGTTCCTTCCAGCTGCTCTAGTAAGTGGAGGTCCCTGGGCCAGCAGGTTTTGGGTGAGGAAGGTGGGTTTGGGCTGCTAGGTAATCCAGATTCAGGAAAGAGGTGATTCTATTAGAATGAATCCACCCAACCTGGGCAGCTCTAACCCAAAGTCAGGACAAAGCCACAAACAACAGGGTTTTCTGGTTAAAGAAAAATTCTGATTGCTAGGGAGTTATCATATATACCATGGATAGAAATAATTATGCTGGTGAATGATTGCTAATGTCTGCCTGAAAGGCCATGTTAAGAATTTTGCACCTGTGTCTGTGTTTAGTGGGAAAGAGTTGGGATTGATTAATGATGTCTGCCTGGGACACAGGATGAGAGAGTTACTGCGTGTGTGTTACCTCTTCCACATTTCCCTTAGAGTTGGAGAACGATGAAATTCACTTAGCCACAAAGTCTCCACTGAACACCACTAAATCTGTCTTTAGCAATTCCAAGGGGCATCACTTCAGAATCTTGTGGGACCTCAGGATTAATTGCCAGCTCATTGAATGTTGTTGTTAACAGAAAGCTGGGGAACCCTGCTAATCCACTTTGTTTCTTTCCTGGGGGTCTAGAAGGCATTGGGAAGTCCTGATACCCTGGAGGGCTTGGAGGCTTGTCTCCCCCTCCGGAGCCTCATTGTCCCCTCTCCCCTCTGGCCTCTCTTGTGGTCTCTGCTGCACTGCAGCTTCATCTACTCTGTCCTGGTGATCGTCTCAGCAGCCCTCTACCTGGCAGGGATTGAGGCCTACCTGGCCGTGATGGTCTTTGCCCTGGTCCTGGGCTGGATGAATGCCCTTTACTTCACCCGTGGGCTGAAGCTGACAGGGACCTATAGCATCATGATCCAGAAGGTACGGGCTGGGAGGGCCCTCTGGACTCGTGTGTTCCTGGAGGGAGCCACACACACCACATGCACACTTATGCGCCTGCAGACCTGAGGATGCCGGGTACCGTGAGGGCAGGAGGCATGGTCTGGACACTGGGGTGGGACCAGGGTGGAGATGGAGAAATGGGGAAAGTGAGAAACCACATGTCTCCTGTTTGCCTCCATAATCCCACTGGGGTCTTTAGATCCTCTTCAAGGACCTTTTCCGATTCCTGCTGGTCTACTTGCTCTTCATGATCGGGTACGCTTCAGGTGAGCTCTGGGTGCTCAGGTGGGCCTGGCAGGGGTGGTGCAAGGACGGGAACAGTAGCCATGATATATTGGGGACAATAGCAGCCTTGCTGAGTTCTTTTTTTTTGAGATGGAGTTTCACTCCTGTTGCCCAGGCTGGAGTGCAATGGTGCAATCTCAGCTCACTGCAACCTCCACCTTCCAGGTTCAAGCAATTCTCCTGCCTCAGCGTCCCATGTAGTTGGGATTACAGGCTCCTGCCACCACGCCCCGCTAATTTTTTTTTGTATTTGTAGTAGAGACAGGGTTTCACCCTGTTGGCCTGGCTGGTCTTGAACTCCTGACCTCAGGTGATCCACCCATCTTGGCCTCCCAAAGTTCTGGGATTACAGGTGTGAGCCAATATGCCTGGCCACTGAGTTCTTATTTGTATGCCAGGCACTAGACTAAGTAACGTTTCCATCCTTGACCCCCAACAAGCCTGTAAGCTAAGTGCCTTTATTATCCCCTGTTATAGAAAAGGAAACTGAGGCTTAGGAGGGTTAAATAACTAGCACAAGTTCAAAAGCCAGTGAATGGTGGCTGGGTGCAGTGGCTCACGCCTGTAATCCCAGCACTTCGAGAGGCCAAGGTGGGTGGATCACTTGAGGTCAGGAGTTTGAGACCAGCCTGGCCAACATGGCGAAACCCTGTCTCTACCAAAAAATACAAAAATTAGACAGGCATGGTGGCGCGCAACTATAGACCCAGCTACTCGGAAGGCTGAGGCACAAGAATCGCTTGAACCCAGAAGGTGGAGGTTGCAGCGAGCCAAGATGGCACCACTGCACTCCAGCCTGGGCAACACAGCGAGACTCTGTCTCAAAAAAAAAAAAAAAAGAAAAAAAGCTAGTGAATGGTAAAACTGGAGTGTCAGCTATTGCTACAAAGGAAGCCACCTAAAGCTTAGTGGCTTAAAATAGCACCCACTTGTTATTATTATTATTATTATTGTTTGTTTTTTTGTGGCAAGTTCTCTGTAGCTGAGGCTGGATGGCAGTGGTGCTCTTGGCTCACTGCGACCTCTGCCTCCCAGGTTCAAGCGATTCTCTTGCCTCAGCCTCTCGAATAGCTGGGATTACAGGCGTGTGCCACCATACATGGCTAAGTTTTATATTTTTGGTAGAGATGGGGTTTCACCATGTTGGCTAGGTTGGTCTCGACCTCCTGACCCCAAGTGATCTACCCACCTTGGCCTCCCAAAGTGCTGGGATTATAGGCGTGAGCCACTGTACCAGGCCAACTTATTATTGCTTATGAGTCGGTGGGTCAGCTGGGTGGCTGTGCTGCCCTGGGCCAGGTTTGGTTGATCCCTACAGGCTCTTGTGCCTGTGGTCAGCTGGCAGGCTGGCTGCCGGCTGACTAGTCTAGCTAGTATGGACTTGGTTAGAGGGGCTTTGCTATCTATCTTCCACGTGGTCACTCATCTCTGGCCAGCTAGCTTGGGCTTGTCCATATGGTAGCCTTAGGCTTCCAAGAACATGAGCAGAAGTGTTCAAGGACACCTCCTGGCATGGCATCACTGCTGCCTTACTCTGTTGGCCAAAGCAAGTCCCAAGGCCAGCCTCGATTCAACGGATGGGGAAGTAGACGTCATTTCTTTTTTTTCTTGTTTTTGGGTGGAGACAGGGTCTGGCTATGTTGCCCAGTCTGGTCTTGAACTCCTGGGCTCAAGCAGTCCTCCCACCTCAGCCTCCCAAAGTGCGGGATTATAGGCGCGAGCCACCATGCCTGGCCTAGACTCCACTTCTTGGTGGGAGAAGCTGTAAAGCCACATTGAAGGGGCATGGATACATGGAAGGATAAAATTTAATAATTAAACTACTAGCCCAGGTATTTTCTTAAATCCTGACATCAGCTCCCTTTGATACACCTTCTCCCTGATGTCACGATGCCACTCAGAAGCATTCTGGGACCTCAGTGGCATGGGCCATGAGGGAAGGACCAGGGACCAGGGCTGGAGAAACTGACCAAGTCCTTGGGCTGGTCCCTGAGGGGTGGGTGATCTGACATCAATGCCCAGCATCCAAAGGGGAGTGGCCAGCTCAGGTTAGACCCAGACACATTCACATCTGAGCAGGTTCATCTGGGGACGAGCCTGGCAAAGGAATCTCATGAGGGTGATACTTTAACCCATGACGGTGGCCAAGGCTCTATGTGGATTATTGGGGGGAAGTGGAATTGTGGTTTTCACTAGGGAGATAGGGACAGGGTACAGCTTTCCCCTTCCAGGGATCACACTGGAAAAACTAGACAGTGTCGAAGATTCAGCAGTTTGGGATTCAGGTCAGCGATCTAGCCTTACTGCAGTCCTAGTTATTGAAACCGAGCAGAAACAAGGGTTAGAGTAGCAGCTGAGCAGTCAGCTCAGTCACAGGGCTTCTCCTTATAGGATGCACTAGATCTCGGTTCTGAGGCTGACATGACATAAACAGGACACACATGCTTCTCTTCCCACACTTTGGTGCCCATAGCAGACATTACTAATCGATCACAGAACAGTTTTTCTGGTGAGTCCAGACAAGGTCTCAGAATCCTTCTCTGCTGAGAAGGTGCTATACAACTGAAGAGCATTAGCATATGAGTTGAAATCTGCATACTCTGATCTCTGGTTGCAGGCAATATGACATTCTATGCCCCACTGACTGATGGGACTGAGCCTTCTTCATGCTCCCCTCCCTGGCTGGTTTAGGGACAGGTTGTTGCTGCCAAACTGTGTTGAGAAGGAATCTGAAGCTTCACCTGGGCTTAGTAGGAAAGGAGAACCATGATGAGTTTGAGATGTCTGGAACAGGAGAGGCCCCTTAGAGAACATGGCTTCGGGGACAGTCAGGACTGGTGCCTGGTTTCAGCCCCCATTTTTCCTCTCTGGGTTGGGGTGCAGTGGGAAGCTGTCAGACAGAGAGTCTGCCCCTGGGAATAGGGACATTCCAGAGCCCCCAGTACCTCTAAGAATGGTAGGTTGCATTAGGATTTCCCAACACTATTGACATTTGAGACCAGATCATTCTTAGTGGCAGGGACCATCCTCTGCATTGCAGGGTGTTGGGCAGCACCCCTGGCCTCCACCCACCTGATGCCAGTAGCACCCCCACCCCCAGTCATAACAACCCAATATGTCTTTAGACATTGTCAAATGTCCCCTGATGGGGAAAACTGAGACCCTCCCTGGACTAGATCCTGAAAACCTCTTCCCTCCCAGTAGCAGGGAACCACCAGGTTGTGTAAGGAGGGGTGAACTGTCCCAGTTTGGAAACAGAGCAGGTCAAAACTCCCATGCTTTTCAGTAGTGAGATTGCGCCTGTGAGTAGCCACTCTACTCCATCCTGGGCAACATAGCAAGACCCCATCACAGAAAGAGAGAGAGAGAGAGAGAGAGAGAGAGAGAGAGAGAACCTCTTCCTATAAGCAAGAGTTTATGGAAAGAGCAAAGGCTTCAAAGGCTTTGGGATCAGGAGGACCTGGGTTTGGTGTGGCTTGGCTGACGTGCAGGGTGACACAGGTCAGCGTGTGGGCCAGGGTGCTCCCCTCATTAGGCCTCAGCTTTCCCCTCCAGCAAATGAAAATGACACCCTCCACCTCTGTGCGTGTCCTCACACTCAGCAAGTGCCACCCCCACCCCTCCCACAGCCCTGGTCTCCCTCCTGAACCCGTGTGCCAACTTGAAAGTGTGCAATGAGGACCAGACCAACTGCACAGTGCCCACTTACCCCTCGTGCCGCGACAGTGAGACCTTCAGCACCTTCCTCCTGGACCTGTTTAAGCTGACCATCGGCATGGGCGACCTGGAGATGCTGAGCAGCACCAAGTACCCCGTGGTCTTCATCATCCTCCTGGTGACCTACATCATTCTCACCTTTGTGCTGCTCCTCAACATGCTCATTGCCCTCATGGGCGAGACGGTGGGCCAGGTCTCCAAGGAGAGCAAGCACATCTGGAAGCTGCAGGTGAGGCCCCAGGGCCCCCAGCCCCATCCCACCGGCCACCCTTGTCCTTCTAAGGACACTCACCCGACTGGCTTCCTCGGCCTTCCATTCTGAGCAAGCCGTGTCTTCTCATTCTGCCTCCACTTCCCTGTCTGTAAAATGGGCATCAGAGGCTGCTGCTGACTTCCCGGAGCTGCCTCATGAATTTCGAGGTGGCTTCTTACCTGGCCACCAGCAGTGGACTCAGATTCTCCTTGCGGTTCAGCTCACAGGACACAGTTGGCTCCACCCAGCATGACTGAGTGACTTCTGCCAGCTCAGAAAGTGCTCAGTGGCCATCAGCGTTTCAGCAGGTGTCCCATGCTGAGCCCAGGGGCAGCTTTTATGCTTCAGCACGCCAGCACAGGGATGTCAGCATTCTCACGGGGGTCTTTTACTAGCAACCGTGAGCATGCTTCCTAGAGGAGAAACCAATGGGGACAGGGGCTGCCTTGGCCCCGGGGAGCTGCAGCCTTTACTTCCCAAAAGCTTTCTATACAATCCTGGGAAGCGCAGGCCCTGGGATCACAGCCCTCCCAGGCCAGGTGCAGCCTCCAAACCTGGTGTCCTAATAAACAGTGCTGCCCCATGGCCCAGGAATACAGCACCCATATTTACTTTGACTGTGCATTTCAGGAAAATGGTGCAGTGAAAAAAAAAAGGCGCAAGGTTGTCCTCCCAGGACTGCGTCTGAGGGAAACAACTCCGGCCTGCTCTTAACCTTTATCTGTATTGCTTACTTCATTGGGCCTCAGTTCCCCCACTGGGCATTACAGGATGCAAACAGGGCATCCTGTGGGCTGGAGTGCAATGGCACACTCTTGGCTCACTGCAACCTCTGCCTCCCAGGCTCAAGTGATTCTCCGACCTCAGCCTCCCAAGTAGCTGGGACTAAGGTGTGCACCACTGCACCTGGCTAATTTTTGTATTTTTTGTAGAGATGGGGTTTCACCATGTTACCCAGGCTGGTCTTGAACTTCTGAGCTCAAGCGATCGGCGGGCCTTGGCTTCCCAAAGTGCTGAGATTGCAGGTGTGAGCCATTCCACCCAGCCTCAGACCATTATATTAAAAAAAAAACAAAAAAACTGCAAATTTAAAAATTAAGAGTTTCCCTATGAAAATCCAGATTTCCGGCTTTTCTTGAAAAGTTGGAAGCCCCAGGCAGTGCAGGGTCCAAATTCCTGCCTGGGAGCCCTCAGGTGGGGTAAGTGGCAGCTACCCCCTTAAATGGGGGCATTTGCTCCCTGTTCGCCCCAGTCTCCACCCCTCCCTCATGTTCTCAGCACTGAGTGGCGACTGCTGTGTCAGTGTGATGGGGCTTGGACTGCAGCCTTTCTGCACCTGATCCTGTTTCACCCATTTGTTTTCCTGCCTGCCACCTGTGGGTGTTTGAGTTTATACATCCTGTGTCTAGGGGGCGGTAGGAGTGTAAATGCCTAGTTCTGGGCCCACCCTGGCCGCTTGTCTCATTTCCGCCATCAGAGCGGCAGGCGCAGGCTGTGAGGCTCACTGAGGTCCCTCCTGACCCTCCCTCTCCGCAGTGGGCCACCACCATCCTGGACATTGAGCGCTCCTTCCCCGTGTTCCTGAGGAAGGCCTTCCGCTCCGGGGAGATGGTCACTGTGGGCAAGAGCTCAGACGGCACTCCCGACCGCAGGTGGTGCTTCAGGTGAGGCTGGGGCAGTGGGGCCGGGCAGGCAGGGCGGAACCGTCCCCACTGGCTCGGGGCCACTGCTGCTCCAGCGTCGTCTACCCATTGCAATTTCTGGAGCCACTGAGGCCCCAAGAGGCCCAAGCAGAGTTTATTTCCACCAGGCGATCTTAGGCAAGTCGGCCCACCTCTCTCAGCCTCAGTTTCTTCATCTGTGAAATGAGACAATGATAGCATGGGCTCCTAGGCTGGTGGTGCGGATTAGACAGGTCAGCACATGAGAAGTGCTCTGCCAGTGCCCGACGCGCACTGGGACACCACAGGCTCCCCTGTTCCTTGCTCAGCGGGAAGCAGAGACTTGGATGGTGGGTTCATTTCAGAGCATCACCCTCTATCTAGCAAACAGTGGGGTGGGCTCTAGTGCCTTGGGTGAAATGGGAAGCTGAGGAATCTGCAGTTTCCAGGGCTGGAGACCTCACCCAGCCCATCTGCAGAATGACTCTGTGTTCCAGAGGCACAGGGAGTGCCAGCTTCTTAGGTGAACCCCTTCATGAATCTTTTCTTTTCAGTTGATTCATTCTTTAAAGTGGTTGTCAGCATAAAGCATAAGCAGAATGTTGTTTGTTTGTTTGTTTTGAGACGGCGTCTTGCTCTGTCTCCCAGGCTGTAGTGCAGTGGCACGATCTCGTCTCACTGCAAGCTCTGGCTCCTGGGTTCACGCCATTCTCCTGCCTCAGCCTCCCGAGTAGCTGGGACTACAGGCGCTCGCCACCGCACCCGCCTAATTTTTTGTATTTTTAGTAGAGACGGGGTTTCACTGTGCTAGCCAGGATGGTCTTGATCTCCTGACCTCGTGATCCACCCGTCTCAGCCTCCCAAAGTGCTGGGATTACAGGTCTGAGCCACTGCACCTGGCTGAGCATAAGCAGAATGTTTGGAGTCAGGCAAAGTCAGTTTCCTCGTCTGTAAAATGGGAACAATAACAGCACCCACCTCCTAGGCCAGCTGATCAGTTCAATTCCATTTTTTATGTTTGTTTTTAGAGGCAGGGTTGCTCAGGCTGGAGTGCAGTGGTGTGATCATAGCTGACTGCAGCCTCCAACTCCTGGGCTCAAGCAATCCTCCCATCTCAGCCTCCTCATGCCACCATGTCCGACCAATTTTTAATTTTTTTGTAGAGATGGGGTTCTTGCTATGTTGCCCAGGCTGGTCTCAAACTCCTGGTCTCAAGCGATCCTCCCACCTCAGCTTCCCAAAATGCTGGAATTCCAGGTGTGAGCCACCACCCCCAGCCTCTGTTCAGTTTGAATCCAAAGCTCAAATCCTAGCTGGGTGTGGTGGTTCACGCTTGTAATCCCAGCACTTTGGGAGGCCAAGGCAGGAGGATTGCTTGAGGTCAGGAGTTTGAGACACCCTGGGTAACAGGTGAAATCCCGTCTCCACTAAGAACACAAAAACTAGCCGGGCGTGGTGGCGGGCACCTGTGATCCCAGCTACTCAGGAGGCTGAGGCAGGAGAATTGCTTGAACCTGGTAGGTAGAGGTTGCAGTGAGCCGAGAGTGCGCCACTGCACTCCAGCCTGGGGGACAGAGCAAGACTCTGTCTCAAAACAAACAAAAATGAATAGATAGGATAATATGTAAAAAATAAAAAAAGATAATATGTCAAAACAAATGAGTGGATAAACAAAATGTGGGCTATGCGTACAGTGAAATATTATCTGGGCCAGGCATGGTGACTGTAGTACCAACACTTTGGGAAGCAAGGCAAGAGGATTGCTTGAGCCCAGGAGTTCAAGATTAACACAGTGAAACCCCATCTCTACAAAAAAATTTAAAAAATTTAGCCAGGTGTGGTGGCATATGCCTGTAATCCCAGCTACTCGGGGGGCTGAAGTGGGAGGATCACTTGAGCCTGGGAGGTCAAGTTTGCAGTGAGCTGTGATAGTGACACTGCACCCTCGCCTGGGCAATGGAGTGAGACCCTGTCTCAAAAGAAGGATAAAAGAAAAAATTTCTGCTTGGGGAAATGGAAGAGTTTTGGAAATAGACAGCAGTGATGGTCACACAATGTGGATGTGCTTAATGCTACTGAATTGTATACTCAAAAATGATTAAGATGGAAATTTTGTGTGTGTGTGTATACACACACATACACACAACCAATACACACACACACACATACACACACAACCAATATACACACACACACAAATACACACACACACACAACCAATTTTTTTTTTTTGAGATGGAGTCTCACGCTCTGTCCCTCAGGTTGGAGTGCAGTGGCGTGATCTTGGCTCACTGCAACCGCCTCCCAGGTTCAAGCGATTCTCCTGCCTCAGCCTCCTGGGTCGGTGGGACTACAGGCCACCATGGGACTACAGGCCACCATGGGACTACGGGCCACCATGCCCCGCTAATTTTTTTTTTTTTTTTGTATTTTTAGTAGAGGCAGGGTTTCACCATGTTGGCCAGGCTGGTCTTGAACTCCTGACCTCGAATGATCCACCCACCTTGGCCTCCCAAAGTGCTGGATTGCAGGCATGAGCCACCACGCCCAGCTTTGTTATGTAAATGTTACCATAACAAAAAAAGGAGGGTGTGCTGGGGATGGTGGCATGGGGAACATCTCTGTGGGGCTCCCCATGACCCTCTGCTTGGGCCCCACCAGGGTGGATGAGGTGAACTGGTCTCACTGGAACCAGAACTTGGGCATCATCAACGAGGACCCGGGCAAGAATGAGACCTACCAGTATTATGGCTTCTCACACACCGTGGGCCGCCTCCGCAGGGGTGAGTGGAAGGGTGGGTGCAGAGGGGAGCCCCAGTCCCTTCTCATCACAAGTTTGCTTTGAGCAGTCCTGCTCCTTTCCGGGACTCGGTGTCCGTGTCTGCAGAATGAGAGAGTGTGCCCCTGAGTTTCCTCTGCTGCCCGTGAGTGCCTGGGGTACCTCACCTACATGGCTTCATCCTGGCCATCCCTACTGTTGACATGAGCTGGCCTGGGGAGGGAGGACGAGCTCCTCAGCCATGCCCATGTGGAGAAAACCTTCGTGTTTGTCCAGTAAGCCGTTAGCATGCAAGATGAAGCTGGAGAGGACACGGGCACTCAGGGCATTCGGCTCCAAGCTTGAATCCTGGTTCCTCCATTCTCTCCTGGGGAGGCACCTTGACCTCTCTTGAGCCCCAGTTTCAACCTCTGTAAAATGAGTATAGTCACACCCCTCCCAACCCCTTCAGAGCACTGTGGAGTGCCCAGTACACAGTAGGCACTCAATATATGCACACTGTCTCTCCACCAACCCCCAACCCCTCCCTCTGATGTGCTCGCGGTGCAGATCGCTGGTCCTCGGTGGTACCCCGCGTGGTGGAACTGAACAAGAACTCGAACCCGGACGAGGTGGTGGTGCCTCTGGACAGCATGGGGAACCCCCGCTGCGACGGCCACCAGCAGGGTTACCCCCCCAAGTGGAGGACTGATGACGCCCCGCTCTAGGGACTGCAGCCCAGCCCCAGCCTCTCTGCCCATCCATTTCTAGTCTAGCCGCATTTCAGCAGTGCCTTCTGGGGTGTCCCCCCACACCCTGCTTTGGCTCCAGAGGCGAGGGCCCAGTGGAGGTGCCAGGGAGGCCCCAGGACCCTCTGGTCCCCAGGCCCTGCCTCCCCACCCTGGGGTCGGGGCTCCCGGCCACCTGTCTTGCTCCTATGGAGTCACATAAGCCAACGCCAGAGCCCCTCCACCACAGGGTTCAGGCCCCTGCCCCTGCCTCTCCATTATTTATTTGCTCTGCTCTCAGGAAGCGACGTGACCCCCGCCCCAGCTGGAACCTGGCAGAGGCCTCAGGACCCCGTTCCAAGTGCACTGCCCAGCCAAGCCCCAGCCTCAGCCTGTGCCTGAGCTGCATGTGCCACCATTTTTGGAAGCGTGGCAGCTTTGCAAGGGGCTGTGGCCCTCGGCATGGGGCCGTGCCTTCTGTATGTTCTGTAGAGCGTCTGGGATTTGCTGGTGCTCAATAAATATTTTTTCATTGATGGTGGAGATGGCAGGACGATGGTGGGGGTGGGAGGGATGGTAACAGGCATGAGACTACAGCGAGGGAGATGGGAGAGCTAGGAAATGCCTGGGGGGAGCCAGGGGCAGGGGTGAGAGTGAGGGCAGAAGTGCTGACCTGGAGGCATTTAGAGTGTTAGTGGTTGGGGGCTGGACTGGGTGGTTGTGATGGTGATGGTGGCCTGAGAGGTGGCTGAGGTGGCTGTAGGGAAGGTGGGGGTGGAGGGAGGGGAGGAGGGTGATGCTGGTGGGGGTAATAATGCTGGTCAGGGAGAGTCAAGTTGGCAGGGCAAGAGTGATGCTGGTGGGGGTGACAGTAGTGCTGGCTGGGGGATAATGATCCCCGTGGAGACAGTACATTTGGGCAGCGGAGAGTAATGCTGGCTGGGGGTTGACGATGCAGGTGTGGGGGCTCTGCTGCTCATCAGGGAACAGTCATGCTGGGAGTGCTGCAGGGAGGGCTGTCCTGCGAGTGGGGAGGCGTAGCAGTGGGCGAGCCCGGAGTGTCAGCAGGGGTACTGGGTGTGCACGCGGGTTGCTGTGGTGAGGACTATGGTAGCAGGGGCATATTGGCAGTGCTTGTGGAGCTGGGGTGGGTGGGGGTCGTGGTGTTGCTGGCTGAGTGGGATGGTGCCTCCTTGAGGACTGCCTGCCTGTGTCTGTCCACGGGGCCGCATGCCACCTAGAGCTCTGAGCCATGAGCCAGAGGTGAGGCTGACCCTCTTCCCTTCTGTATTAGTCTGTTCTCACGCTGCTGATAAAGACATAGTCGAGACTGGGTAATTTATAAAGAAAAAGAGGTTTAATGGATTGATAGTTCCATGTGGCTGGGGAGGCCTCACAATCATGGCAGAAGGTGAAAGGCACATCTTACATGGCAGCAGGCAAGAGAGAAGAGAGCTTGTGCAGGGAAACTACCCTTATAAAACCACCAGATCTTGTGACACTATCACCAGAACAGCACATGAAGGACCCGCCCCCATGATTCAATTACCTCCCACCAGGTCACTCCCACGACACGTGGGAATTGTGGGAGCTATAGTTCAAGAGATTTGGGTGGGGACACAGCCAAACCATACCACCTTACCAGGGCAGCCATTAGCCTGGGGTCACACCCAACACCAATCAAGTTCTGAGGCAGCTCCAGACCTCCTGGCATGAGGAGGGACCCCACAAACACCCACCCTGCTGCCCCCACCCCAAAGCCAAGGAAGCCACAGCCAGCTAGAGTTTCCCATGGCCTCCCAGCTCCGGGTTCAGCCTGGGGCTGGGATCTCACATCCTTCTGAAGCTTCAGTTGAGAAGAGCTTGGGTCTGGGAGGAGACCAAGGCCAAGGGCAGCTGCAGTGGAAAATAGCACGGGGCTTGGGTTGAGCAGTCCTGGATTTGCATTGGCAATGGGTTATTTGGTTCAGGGAATGTTAGTTGAGTCACTTTACCTCTCTGGGCCTCCACCTCTTCATCTGTCAGAAGGGGAGAGTCAGTGGCAGGAGGGACATGAGTCTACCAAGCTCCATGAGCAGGAGGGAGGACTCAGATTATCACCAAGTCTGGCCAGGGGGCTCCAACCCCTGACCTCCTCCTACATTGCTTTCCAGGAGCAGATTGTACCCTTCGTGGTCCAGGGTAGCCCAATTCTTCCCAGGGCTCCATGATTTTTTATCTGTTCCCACACCCAGACGGGGTCTTCAGCCAGCGCTCTCAACAGGCATCCCCAAAGCCATTCTGGTTAGATGGGTTGTGTCGAAGGCTGCGCCTGAGCCAGTCCCCATGTCCGGGTGACCGGGTGCTTCCTGGTGAACCTCCCCAGAACCACAGGGAAGCCCAGCTAAGAGTGGCAGGTCAGCTCTTCGGAGGCTGCAGACAAACATCTTTCCCTCAGGCCAGGCTCTGGGAAGGAGTAGCCAAGTGACTGAGCCCCTGGGGCTCAACTCTGAGAAAGGCAGTAGGTCTGGGGCAGAGAGAGAAACACTTTTCCTTTTTCTCTACTCTGATTGAAGTGAAAACACTCTTAAGTTGTTGCTGTTGGGCTTTTCCCCTGGGTTGGTCAGAAGACAAAATGGCCACCTGGATCTTCCCTTAAAGCTGGTTGTTTGGGACAAGGAGGGGGCCTATTTTGCCTCGGGTGCCCTCGAAACAAGCAGGGATAGTGAGGGGGGGATGTTGGCATGTCGGGGAATGTCCTAGAAAGCTCTGGATTTGGGCCAGGTGCAGTGGCTCATGCCTGTAATCCCAGCATTTTGGGAGGCTGAGGAGGGCAGATCACCTGAGGTCAGGAGTTTGAGACCAGCCTGGCCAATATGGCAAAACCCTGTCTCTACTAAAAATACAAAAATTAGCCAGGTGTGGTGGTTGCCTGCCTGTAATCCCAGTTACTTGGGAGGCTGAGGCAGGAGAATTGCTTGAACCTGGGAGGCGGAGGTTGCATTGAGCCAAGATCTCACCATTGTACCCCAGCCTGGGTGACAAGAGCAAACTGTCTCAAAAAAAAAAAAAAA